AAAATGGATTTCTGGTTCCAGGTTTATGTGAATACAGCTCACCTACGTTGATTGAAATGTGTCGCGAACAACAAAAGTACGATGGTTTCAATTCATATGAATTTCTCTTACTGTTCAATTATACATAATTATTTCTTGCATCAGTTATACTTTCTATTTCATCTGAATGTAATTAACGCATTACAGATAACCGACAATCTTTATCTTTCACATATAGTATCAAATTTAATCTATTATTGTATAAATATATCATTATTGTACAGTTTATTGATCGTATCAAAAAGTATATATTTTTAAGACAAAATGTAACCAGAAATAAATCAGCTTCGTGTAATTAATGAATTATCGCTTAATCTTGCACGCAGGGAACGACTTGCCCCTTATTATTTGCTGAGTAATTATTTTCGATAGAATGAAACAGGTGCCATTATTTAGACAAGTCAATCGTCGCCGGCAGCAAACCACCGCAGTTGTTACGTAAACATTCGCTTAGGGGCCTACTCATTACGGTTGCAAACCACCGATTATATCCGGTATCGGTCTCTGGACTTGCAGGAATCATGTTTGCATATCGATTTGGGTGCATAAACGCAGAAGTCATTCGCAACACCAATATTTTAATAACACTGCTATTAATAGCTATTAACAATTATTTCTAGTGTTTCAAAGTATTAATCAACATTATCTTAAAAGCTCATTTTCATATTTATCAAGATTATATTTATACTTATAATATTATACTTATAATATTATAATGTATTTGCCATAGAAATGCATATCATCCTTTTGGATATCTATGCCATCTTTATCACATTAATTTTTTTAAGGGAATTAGATTTTTTTACTTTTTTAATTGTAATTGTTACATTCTTTAAATATGTTTAATAATTTATAAATATACACATTATTTGTGAACGTGTAAAATGAGTTTCGATGATTTGAGAAGCTTTTCCGATTATTAAAATTAATATTAATAAACCGAGCGTGCATCATTAATAAATAAACTGATATTACTAAATAATAATTAATTAATTTGTCAATAACTGATAACATGATGCGTCTCCAAATAAATAAAATTATTTTCAATAATCCACGAATCGCGCTTTTCCAATAAATAAAATTAGCTTCGGTTATCTGACAGCGTCCTCAATAAACAAATTTAATTTAGTTTCCCTGAATACATTTAATATAATGAATAAAATTGATACTGATGCATGAACGCACATTTTCAATAAATAAACTCATATTCGCAACTTGTGTGTGGAGGAATCACTTTTCTCGAATAAATAAAATTATCTTCAATAAACTGATCGAGCCTCTCCAATGTATAAATTAATTTCATCTGGCTGACGTTTTTCCAATAAACAAATTTCACTTTAAACCATTGAGTCCTGAGTTTTTCTGATGAATAAAATAGATGTGACGGCTCTTAACAATATATTTTTAGTAAATAAAATTATATTGATAATCTCGTCCCACAGATAACATTAATTGAGTTAATTAAGCAAATTTAATGAAAGCAAATTATAGTATTATTTAGAAAGCTACATGTCGAAGTTAAATAATTTCACGATTTATTATTTTATTATTAAATTATATTATAATCGTAACAAGAAAATAATATAATTCATCATATCAATATGGAATTAAACTATAATACTAAGATGTTGATTGTTGTTTATACAAAAAAACATAAAAACATCATAGAAAACATCATAGAATATTATGCTTTTATTGCATTTAAATAAATAAAAATCTTCTAACTGTTAAAGAGAGAGAGAGAGAGAGAGAGAGAGAGAGAGAGAGAGAAAGAGAGATATTAATAACTTTCAAGATAATGAATTCTCAGCTAATATTCATTTGATAAATTCTTAGTAACTATATCATGGTTTTTAAAGTCTCATAAAATGCTGGTTTACATTTCTTTTTTTTTTTTTACTTTCTTTATAATCTTTTTCTTTCATTATAATTTATTTCTTTCTTAGTTCTTATATTCTAATTAATAAAAAGTTAATAAAGACTCTCTCTCTCTCTTTTTTTCTCTCTCTCTCTCCCTCTCTCTCTCTCTCTCTCTCTAAATTATTAATTCATACGTATGTGAAAAACCGAATTTATTATCTCATTGTCAATAGAACCAGAATATAACGGAGATGTATATCCCACTTTTTCTTAAACGTCTAACTCGTAATGTATTCAAGTCAACAACGTTAAATGCCTGTCAAGATGCGATGAATACCTGACTCGACGGCGTTAAATCATCCCGAACAGCTGAATAATTAGTCACAAGAGTGTAGCCTAATAAATGGATTTACTCACCAGTCTCCTCATCCCGCCGACGTCACCGCCGTCGCATCCTCTTTGTTGCACCAAACTCCAAACACTCGCGGACACAAATCAATCGAAGAAAAGCAGCTAATTATAATCGCGTGGTTACTAACTAGCACGATTGCTCGTCGTTTTGTATGAATAAATAATGCAAAATACATTTCTTCACATAGCATTCTCTATTAATAATTATTTCTATTAATAGCATTCCCGATGTTTTTATATTATATATTTAACTAAAACCCGACATTCCTCGACACAATTACTGATAAATAAGAAAGACTAACTTCAATAACTTTCTTATTGAATTGTTAGTATTTTCAAAAATTCACTTTTGTTTCTACTTTTTTCTCACCTCTCTTTTTTAAAAGTATTCAAATGAAATTATATGCATTACATATATGTATATATATGTGTATATATATATATATATATATATATATATATATTATATATACATATGACATATATATACATACATATATAAGAGGTGTAAATCCGACCAGGCAATTTCCAGGCGATGCATCGCTGCTTATTAAAAATGAAATTTTCTATTGCTAAACATAATTAACATAATCAAACAATTAGATAATTTAGAAAATGAGATAATTTTGAATAATTTTAAATAATGAATTGTATGAAGAATGTGTACGCATAAGATTATGATTGCTTCCGTAATGTATCACATAAAAAAGATCTTTTTAAGAACTCATAAACTTCTAAATAAATTTTTATATTTTTTGTCAGTATAGACTCTTTTAATTCTTTAAGGAAATAAAAAGCATATAGTGATAGAAGTTTGGTGTTGAGACACTCACACGAAAAAGAGAGAAAGAAGATATATCGCAACATATTCGATCGTTAGCAAAAATAATTTTTCGCAAAGAGATTTTCTAAGGATCTCCAAGCAGCAAAAAGGTATAGTTATCCAAAACCGAAGAATATTCATCGCAGAATGCAGATCAGCAACAAGAGTAGGAGCCTCCAGTATGTCTTAAAAAAAGAATAGATAAATGATTAGGACTTGGATGATTTATATAGAAGAATACATCAATAATAGCGCTCACGAATCCGCTTTGCAATAATTGAGGCTGCTGAACGCGATCAATGTTTAATAACGAAGAATTCAATTGGACGCATTAGTGCACACTGCTGCATATTAAAGCCATTGTACATTTAATTTGAGTGTAAAAATGAAATGTAAATGTTTCGAATTATAAAATATATATTTTACTTAACAGCATAATAAATTAAATGTACTGAGTATTTCATGACTTTTATGTTTATTTATAAATATATCTTTACGTTAATTTATGGTTATTTATATTACGTTACTTTAATGTGCATCATTGTGCACTGAGTGCGTCCAATCGAAATCGCTATTAAAATTTTTTTTCACTAATACGAAGAAGAAATATTAATGAGACGGGTTCTTTAATTACAAAATAAACTAAACTATTCAGTCAGAGACCACAATATTATAATTCTGCATAAGCATAGACAATTTCCCATCAACGTGATATTTTATTTTTCAAATTATTTATATTAGGTGTTGGAATTAATTCGTAGCGTTTTACAAGTGATGGGAAGTACTTTCATTAATGTATTTTTTAATGCTCATGTGAAATAAATAACATTCTTTCATTAAAAAACGCTATGAATTAATTCCAACACCTAATATTTATATTTGTTAATTATTTACTTGATTTATATGTAGCGTAAGGCTACTAGAGTGGATCACTCTTTAAAAAAAAAATCATATTTTTATCCAGAACAATATCGAACAATTAATAAAATATTTAATAGTTACAATTGATCATAAAAATTACATTATGAATGATCTCATTTCTTTTTGATTACGTTTTATATGTTTTAATTTTAATTAAATGTAATAATGACAATTATTCACATTTAATCCCACCTTCTAATTGCGAATCAGTTCATCAAATGCTTTAACTTTTTTAGATTTAATTTCAACTGACAATTAGATCATTTATACTGATCGTAACCGTGTGCCGTATGTCGTAATCCATAAGAATTGACTAATCACAGTCGAGCATTCCTCTTTTACAATTAATTGAGAGAGAAATATACTCGACTGTGATTAGTCAATTCTTACAAATTACGGCATACGGCATACTACGATTAATATAAATGAGTTACCGATTGTGAGGCTGTAATCACACTACTTGCTGGTTGTTGGTTCTATTTTAGACAATAATGATGCAGCGAGATTAGACTGCAACGTGAAAATAGAACTTAGAACGTGAAAATAGAATTAATGAAAATAAAACCGACACCAGTAATCGCAACCTGTAGTATGATTATGGCCTTGGATAGAGCGTCGCAATTTGCAGTTGTAAAAAAAGAGACGGCAACAAAGAGCACAAAACAAAATGAAAAATTTAAAAATTCGTCATTTTGTACTCCCCCTCCCCCCTCCCCTCCATAGGTGAAGTAAGTTGTTGTCCCTGACAGGTAGAAATAGGTATAAAAAGGATATAAACTTACCTTATTTGTTACATCTATCTCTCTTTGTATAAGATACACTGAATTTAACTACAGCTCAGTCGCGCGATCAAACGACCCACCCGTTATTTTCTTTTTTTCTGACTCGCGCGCGGTCGCTTAGGTGTCGTATGCGTGACGTCGTATTGTTTTCGCGCATTGTTCGTTCGTCCCGAAACAGCGTCGCTCGCAATTACACTGGATGAGAGTGTCGCCGCGAATTCAGAATCAATTACAACGGTTACAAGCCAATCACGGTAACGTCGTAATACGCGTAGTGTAATTAGTGGTCGGATGTGTTCCCTCGCGGCGGTCAATCGCGCGATCGACAAGTGACGCCGAGCGAAGTAAGCTGTAAAGTTGCCAACTACTATCCGACGCGTCAACGGCGTGAAGTTGCCGCGCCGCACGAATTTTTCCTGCACTTATTACCAATCGATTTTCGAATTTTTCCTGCATTCAACGTGCGAGCGAATATTGTTTCGAACGTCCGAAACGTTGTGTTACGGGAACGCTGTGTACAAAGTGGCGTGCGTTCATCGTGTCGCGTTAATTACATACACGGTCGTGTGTGGTCCGAGATTTTCATGCTGTCGTATAATCTGAACATGAATGATGAACATCGCGAGAGCCGGAGAAGCGGAGTGACGGGCGTACGCCATCCATGCGTCGCATTTTGCGTTCTGTAAGTACCTGTTCGAAAGTGCCTCGTCGGGAGCCTCACCGGACAAAGCGACGGTTGATTGTCATATCGCGTTGTTTAGTATACGAATACGTGCGGATGTAATTAGTTTCCTAGCGACTCGCGTCGCGTCCGTGTGAGTAAACATCGAGAACAATAGAGGACAACTATCGGATGACGAAGAAGCATCCGCGCCAGTAAGCAGAATATTCGTTTACTATCACCATTAATTTAATACACATTTTAAAAATATTCAATCATAATTAAAGATTCCTTTAGGGCTCATTGCTACAAATGTAGATTTAACTTTGATCTTTGAATTAATTTACTCTTTATCTTTGAATTAATTTACTTTTTATCTTTTTCTAATTCTTGGAAAATAAAAGAAAATAAAAAATAAGTTCTTCTACATTAAAAGAAATAGATCAAATTTTATATACTTAAATTAACTTTTATTCGCAAAACCTAAATTTTGATTTTTTTCTTACTTTCCTAATTTTTTATTACAAATTATTTAATTATATATTAGGTGTTGGAATTAATTCGTAGCGTTTTTAATGAAAGAATGTTATTTATTTCACATGAGCATTAAAAAATACATTAATGAAAGTACTTCCCATCACTTGTAAAACGCTACGAATTAATTCCAACACCTAATACATTCTGCAAAATATCTGCTACAAATTTAATCAGCAAAATGCCAGCAAAAATATAACAAATTCTGTTAATAAAATCTAATAATAGATCTAATAATAGAATTGTAAAAATTAAATAGAATTTATCAGTTTGTAACATTTAGTTTTTGCAATCAATTGTAATCATTCAAATAATTATAAAAATGATAGACTTCTATTAATAATTTGCTCAAATCATATTATATTTATGGATTCCATTAGCAAAACAAACATAAAATGCAAAATAAAATTTTTGTCAGAATTTCTATATAAATTGAAATACTTTTCTGAAATACAAAGAAAGTCTGATTAAAATGTTTTCATATATGTGAATTCTGAAACAAAAAATTCTAGAAGAGATGTAGACTTTCTTGACACTTGAGAAATGTTTCAATTTGTAGAAAAAAATCTAAGAATATTTTAAAAATTGTAAAATTATTTAAAAAATTCTGAAACATTCTGAAATTTACATAAAAATTCTGAGAAAAATTTTCACCATGTCGATCTGCCACAATATTTTCACATTTATTCACATTTTATTCAGATACGATAAATTTTTGAAAGAATTAAGTATTGAAATTGTAAGAAAGAGAATACAATTACATTTTGTGAAAATATTGACAGTTTTTTAATGTGATGTATCAAATAATATATTATTAATTGAAAACATTTTGTTAAAAACATTTTGTTCAGATACGATAAATTTTTGAAAGAATTAAATATTGAAATTGTAAGAAAGAGAATACAATTACATTTTTTGTGAAAATATTGATATACTTTTTTAATGTGATGTATTAAGTAATATATTATTGAACATATAAAATTAACAACGCAATACATTTTCGATGTGGCATAGGTAATTTTTTATGAATTTGTGACACTCTGGATGATAATTTTGCAATTTTTTACATAATCTGCGTACAAATGTTTTGTTTTAACGACCATATTAATTTACAGATTAATTTTTTTATTAAATGATAGCATTTGCTTAGCATTGTTTTCTCAGTCAAGATCTTTTTGCAGTTTTATTTGCATTAAGGAAGACTAAACTCATCATCGAAATTTTTTTGTTTTTATACATATATACTGGTAAATATACATATTGCACATTATTATGCAACCAAGTGGACTCTTGGCTATTATTTTGTGCTTTTTTTTACAATAATTTTTATTTCATATATAATGCACAAGCAACTTCGACTTAACATTCACAAATCGAGAAAGATGTTAGTTTTTAGAATATTAGTACAATAATAAAGAGCTCTAAATAATATAAATTAAAATTGTATAAAATGGCAGGATTTGTATTGAAGAGCCAATCACAGGATTTGTTGCTAAAATTATAATAATTTATATATTCTAATGATAATTACATAGACTTATTATTCGAATCTAATCTCGTAAATTCAAATTTTTACTTTTTATTCAGTTTTTTAATATGCTGGAAAGTATATTAGATACATTAAATGTATCTATTGTATCTTTTAAATGTATTTAACTATACAAATGAAAGTAACATCCTTTCTCGAGTTTATTTAATCGCCGGGACAGATAATGTCGTAAATTTTTATAAATCAGATGTTAAATCGTGCACAGAGTTTCTCACGGCGCCCCAACTTCACCGAACAGTAGCACAATGGCGTTCATTGAATTAGAAACGGGACGGTAATGGTATCATGATCATTCGTGATTCATAAATCCGCACGATCCGCGTATTTATTAAGCCGTCCATAAAACATCCATTTAATCCGGCGTTAAATCAAGTTCGCGCCAAGTGTAATGCTCAAGGGTGATCGTGCTAGAAAAGTCGACCCGTCCGAATGGCCGGGGTCCACACACGCGTCACCGGGTCTGGCCCGGTCGGGCCCGCATGCGTGCTATAATAATACGAGATCGATGTTGGTGGAGGACCTGCTGCATTGTACAGCTGCATTCCACGATGCCACGTTTCTTTCGGTTCTATCCTCCTGCCTCCTCGGCCCGGCCCCCTTCTGGCTTTCTCTGATCGCGTTCCCCATATCTTAATTCTCCGCGCAACGTTTCGACCTAAGGCGAGGTTTCACGACTATTGTAACAAGAAGTCATCTGTGAATGTTGACTTAGTGACGGCGGACCAATATTTGTCTTAGAGTCTGTCAAGCCTCTCCTGACTTGTTTGGTGGGAATGAAATATTAAATGTTAATACACGGTGTGAGTCCACAACGCTCTTACAAATTGGCTAAATACAATTGGCTAATAAGATCATAGATCCTTCTCTCACGCACAAAATTTTTCTCAAATTTCTCCGTGACGCGCGTATTGTATTGATAAATTCTTCATTAATTATCAATAATATTATTTTGTATGAAAATTTTTAATACTATTTCCTGAGAAATGGAAAAAAACTAGTGATAAAGAATATCGATAAATCTAGTAAAATAAGATTCTTCTTTTTTTATATTTTTTTGTTATCAAGAACTGATCTAAAGAAAGAAGAAATTTTTAATCGCGATAAAGTTACGTCTCTGAATAAGTGGATTGAAGGTGAAGGAGCTGAAGAGGAAGGGTCGGTGAAGCACACGACCCTTCAATGAGATAGCTTAGCTAATTCAAAACTTCGATCGCGTTGCTTTGAAATCGATTCCGAACTTGTATCCGTTACGATGTTCTCGATAGGAACTCTGTATTGATGCATAATATCCTTTTTCCTGTAACCATTATGGGCATAGTCAAGGAAGAGGCAAGGAGGCTACGATCTCCCTAAATCTCAAAAAACAAAAATATACAATAATAATTAGAAAAAAATTACGCATTTACGGATTATTCACAAGAAATTAATTGTGGAAAAGAAAAAATAATTGAGACAACTAATGCTATAAATATAAGTTTTTCTAGATTAAAGAATCAGTTTATAATTTTAAGAGAAAAATAAAATTAATTTGTAAATGAAATATATGTAATTTTGTGATTTTACATCAGTAATTAATTATTAAAAATAATTATGGGTTCAAAAGTCAATTCTTTAATTTGACCTCCTCCTAAACAAAACTTCTGGCTATGCCCATGATGCCATCATGTCTTAATTACTTTGTTTAATATTATTTTTCAATACGAGTGTGAATAATCCTTGCACAAAAATAGTCAAATTTTGTCAGTGTTATTTGAAATTTTTTAATTTTTTTATTCAATTATTCATTGTTTGTCTAATTGAAGTAAACTTTTATTTTCGCCAATATTATATTTATTTATTTATTCATATAATAAATACCTAAATCTTTAATCAAGAAAACATTAGTAATTAAGTATAAATAGATAAATAAAAATTAGTTCGCGCTATTGTTGAATGAAAGAAGTTTTATGTACTGGATATTCAATTTTCTCGATTAACTAGATATAAATTATAAAAGAAGTTGCAAAAATTGTAACTTTGCAAAATTGCAAAAATTTTTTTGCTTTGAACAGAATCCGCAAAGTTGCTAATCTTTTAGTGCCGCGTATCTTTTGAGCTTTCTTATGACTTCGATTTGTACTGTACGTTTAAAATCCTCGAAGAAGGAATCACGTCGCGACGACGATCGCATTTCGTCCTAAGAACGCTCTTAATAATGCTGCACCCCATAGCGAAGGGCAACCCTCGCATTTTGTCGCGTCGAAGAACGTGGCGGTTTTATCTCGCAACAAGGCGATTCTTGTTATAGGGTAAACAGAATAGTAGCGAGCAGCAGCACGAATATAAAGAAAAGAAGTTCTATAGAATAAGCCTTGAAAGAATGTATTTGTCCCTGTTTAATAAAATTCATGAAGAGGCCAACGTGAATTTAATAAATTTTTTTGTTTTTCTGAAAATATATATACAACTTTTTTTTATAGAATACACATATTTTTCTGATAATTCATTCTATGAAAAGAAATTTTCATAGAATAGATTATCACTTTTTCGGTATATTGTATATATAAACTGATTTGATATATAGTATATTTATTAATTATATGTCTTTAAATTAGTTTTATATGAATTTTACATTATCTCTCAAGCAATTAGTTACAATTTTTAAATAATTAAAATAATAATTAAATTGTAAGCATATATATATATATATATAATCATATTGTATTTAATAGTATTTGGTATATATATATTTTGCAAAAATATTTCGCCGTTTCGCAAGCGATTTTCATTTTTTTTCCATAAAAAATGGGACAGTTTTCTTCATCGAAATAGACACGTATTCCAGATTGTTCTAATTGCTATGGGATTCGTTATTGTACTGTTTACTGTTACCTATTTGATAGATCAGTCCGAGTTGTGTGGTAACCCCAATCTGTGGCATCCAGATAACGCGGATCCGCGGTCGCCCGTTGCCGATCATTACTTTATTCAATTCGCGCGCCCCTTTTCGCCTGTCTCTTCTGCTCCCCTTTTCACGCTCGGACCGCGCAATTTAAAAGCTGCTCGTTCGCGCGCGCGGCACGCAACAATGACACCCTTCTTTTCGATTGGCCGCAATCCCTATACATCCATAGACGCTATATCTCGGTGTAT